TGAGGTCAGGAGTTCGAGACCAGCCTGGCCAACATAGTGAAACCCCATCTTTACTAAAAATAAAAAAAATTAAAAAAAGACCAATAGCTAATGCATGTGGGTCTTAATACCTAGCTGATGTGTTGATGGATGCAGCAAACCACTATGGCACACATTTACCTATGTAACAAACCTACATGTGTGTTCCAGAACTTTAAATTAAATTAAATAAAAAAAAGAAGAAGAAGAAGAAGAAGGCTAGGAGTGGTTGCTCATGTCTGTAATCCTAGCACTTTGGGAGGCTGAGGTGGTTGGATCATAAGATCAGGAGTTTGAGACCAGCCTGACCAACATGGTGAAACCCTGTCTCTACTAAAAATACAAAAATTAGCCAGGCGTGGTGGCACATGCCTGTAATCCCAGCTACTCAGGAGGCTGAGGCAGAGGAATCGCTTGAACCTGGGAGGGGGAGGTTGCAGTGAGCAGAGATTGTGCCACTACACTCCAGCCTAGATGACAGAGTGAGACTCTATCTCAAAAAAAAAAAAAAGAAAGAAAGAAAGAAAGAAAGAAAAAACAGTGTAAGTATCAAGAAAAGGGTGAACTTTTGGACTGTTGTCTCCATTTCTGGAGCAGGACCTAAATGGCTATTACCTTGACTTCCTCCCCACCACATTTATCCTTCGCTCCACCATAGGCTCTATCTTACTGTTTTCCTAAAGCCTGCAGCCCAAATTCTGTGGTAAAATGCTGGAACAATACAACGGCCTTTCTTATAAAGTTTAAGGTGAGCACAGGAAGGAGCATTTTTATTCCCAGTTTCCCCAACAAAAAACGGTAGTTATACCCCTTGGAAAATTCCCAAGGCCTCTTGCGTTTATGGACAGAAAAGAATAATTAGAATTATATGTGGCTGTTTTCAAGTGGACCAGGAAGAAGAGACTTCACCTGGCAAGACAACCAAGTCTTTAAGCACCAGCTTTTGGGAAACTTCTCACCTGATCCAACCCGACCAGTCCTTAATATCTTGTCATCCTGTCTGTTTAGTCCAGCTACCAAATCTATAAAAACCACTGCTTCAAGCCATTGGTACAGTCACCGGTGACTTGGATTAATGAGGGGTGTGTGTGTGTATGTGTGTATGCACAGACACCTGTGCATGTGCTTGGGACTGAGGTAAGGAGATACAATCTCCATTCCCATATCAGTGCCTAAGCCCCACACTAGAGCAAGTCAGTCAGAATCTCTGGGAGTAGAGCCAATGCATCTGCTTTGCTTAAAAAAAAAAGAACTCCTTAGGAAAAGGAATGAGCTATTGAGCCACCAAAACCATGGGGTGAATCTTAAATGCATATTGCTGAGTGAGAGAAGCCAGTCTGAAAAGGCTCCATCCTGTATGACTGCATTTATATGATTTTAGAAAAGGCACAGCTATAGAGTTGCTAAACAGATCCATGGTTACTAAGGCTTTAGGGAGGGAGGATGGTTGAGCAGATAAAGCACAGGAAATTTAGAGTGGTGAAACTCTTCTGTGTGATACAATAATGGTGGATACATAACACTATACATTTATCAAAATCCATAGAAATTGTGAACCTTAAATGTGTGCAAACTTTAAAAATAATTTAGGAAGTCAGAGAATCCAAGGATAGAATTCAGGTCATACCAAAAGAATCTAACCATATTACAAATGTATGAAATAACCTCATTGAAAGGGGTGGGAAAAAAGGTGCTAACCTAAGTAACTTTGAAATGAATGGAGATGATAGGACCAAAAACGAAACTGTCATAAGCACTGTACTCTAGTTAAGTTGTTGCTGTCAAGGCTATGGGCTAGCAATTTTGATACCACCATACATGTATTCTGTAATTGTTTAGCTTAATATATATATATATATATATATGTACACACACACACACATACATGGATACATGAAATATTTACAGATATGTGTATGTGTGTGTATGTATATATATCTGTGTGTGTGTGTGTGTGTATGTATACAGATGAATTCCTTGCTCTGTCAGCTAAAAGGTCCTGGGGCAATGACACCCCAGCAATAATGAGCATGCCTAGTGTCCAGATCTTGTTTTCGAATATTATTCTACAATAAAACCAACTGGGCTCCTTGAAGAAATGGCTGACTATAGGTCTAGGCAAGGAATATACAATATAGGCCTGGAGCATCTCATAGTGACCAAAAGCAAGAAAGTGCTAAAAACAAAAGAACCCCACAATGATTGGGGATATGTCAAAGAGACACAGAAGCCAACTGAAAGAGCTCCCAATGGCCAAAGCTGGAATTTGAGCAACAAAATAGTAATAGTAGTAGTATTGGGTTATAACCCAAAGCATAAAATAAATATCCATGAGTCCACATTGATATCGATAAATGATTGAATAAATAAATAAGTGGAAGAGAATAGTCAAATCTGTGCAGAAGAATTCCACATAATTTATAGAGATTCTCCCTCCCTGAGGAGGTTATGATGATTACATTTGAGAGTCAATTTGCCTAGGCTATGACACCTAGTTGTTTGGTAAAAACACTAGACGAAATGTTACTGTGAAGGTATTTTGCAGACATGATTAATATATATAATCAATTGGCTTTACGTGAAGGAGATTACCCTTAATAGTTTATGTAGACCTCAGCCAATCAGTTGAAGGCATTAAAAGCAAAAACTGAAGTTTCCTAGAGAAAAAGGAATTCTGCCTCAAGACTGCAACATCAGTCCTACCAGAGTTTCCAGCCTCCTGGCCTGCCAACCTGCCCTGCAAGTTTCTGACTTGCCCACAAATGTATGGGCCAATTCCTTAAAATCAATCTAATAATAATAATAGGGAAACTGGGTATGTGGTATATAGCCAATCTCTGTACTATTTTTATATCTTTTCTTTAAATCTAAAACTATTATAAAATATTTCTTTTTAAAAACATAAACAGCTACCTAGGGATTCTAATACGCTGCCAATGTTGAGAACCAATGCTTATCCACAGTACTGGAAGATGCAGATATCCCAAGGTAAAATTCCAAATGCGTTGCCTTCCAATGGTGATCACTCAGCATGCACCCAATAGTAACATGGGGATTTAAATGACAGAGAGATGCCTAGGTTTACTCCAGAGATCTGAATCAGAATCTTCAGGAGAATAAAGGGAAGGGCCAATCTATGGATAAAGTCAAAGGATAAAAACGATTCCTATGAAAGGATTCCTACATGTGGAAGTTAGATGAGAAGTTATAATTGGCAATGTGCTTTGGGTCCATTTGGAATTCAGTGGGTTTTTCCTGGAAACCTTAACACCTCAGTAGCATTCTTCCTACAGGAAAAGGGGTCTCTCATTCTAATCCACCTTAGAAGCAGTGCCTGTCCCAGTGCCTGGCAGTGGTTTCCTGCCTTCAGAGAGTGACATGTGCTCTCCTTTCCAACCATGCTCTGTCCATTTCCTCTGATAGTTCTACAGTGTCAGCGAGATGCCTACAAGGAGCTTATCAGGCAACATCTGTGCAGTCTGTGGGCAGAAGATTATTGTGGAGCTTGATGAAGAAGGACTCATTGAAAACGCCTACCAGCTTTCCTGTAATCATGTGTATCCTTTTTAAAGGAAATTGTTTGGCCTTCATCAAGCCTCCTTCTTTCCGCCCTCTCCCCCTTCTGTCCCCATCTCCTCCATCTTGCTAACCTTTTGTCCCCAAACCCCAGTCCTCTATCCTTTAGCCCAGTCTTTCTTTTTGAGTCTCTCTGTTTGTCCCTGCTGATTAATGAACTGCTAATTAAGGTGAACCTCCTCCTCCAGTCATTTCCTTTTTAAAGAGGACTCTTAATGCTACATAGACAGGAAGGCAGCAGCATCTGAGCAGGGTGCTGGCAGGGAAAGGGAAAGAAGGATTTTGGAGGTGAGAAAAAGGGTGAATTATCAGGTGCAAGGGAGAACTTAAGACTAGCCAGGTGGAGCCACAGGTCTGAATCTTAGCAGACAAAGAAATACAAAGTGTACTTTGCCTAGAAATAATCCTAGGAACCTACCTGTGGCAATAGCAGTCTTGTGGGCAGCCAAGGGAGGAAACCAAGCCTTCTTCTCAGCTTCAGTCTTCAGAAGAAGATATGGCCACAGGCAGCAAGACACCTTGGATTAAAAAAGCAGGGACCAAAATTTGGACCTTTGTTCTTGGACCATTTGGCTCCTCTACCAATGGGTTCTATCCCAAATAGCTATCCATTGGCTGAGGGATCTTCAGATGATAGGTACCAGAGAGCCTAGGCCTGGAAACCAGCATTCCATGGGAACTCCAGTAACCATTAAGGAAGGCCTCAAGATGCTGAAAAATGCTGACATAGAGACCCCTGAACAAATCAACCTCCGCTACCTGAACATGTTTGGATACTACTTTTGCTATGGATACCAAAGTTAGGCTTAGGTTAGCCAATAATCAGTATTTTAATTATTCCTAAATACAAAAAAGGGCATCATTTATCTTTATTTTATGGTATAATATAAATGTAATAATGTCATCACTACGTACCCAGTCAGTTCAAAGCCCTGGCATTATGAGATGGTTAAACCATCTATCTTTTGCCTAAAGCCCACTTAATTTAGCCAGTCATACCTCAGTGTGCAGTACCTATGATTCAATTCTGTTTAATCTGGAAAGTTTCCACTTATTCAATCCTGAGCGTAAAACCTGGACCAAATGCATCTCAAAAGTAATAAGAGCCTTTACTCCAATATTTAAGCCTTAAAATCTTAAGATATCCCATATGGATTGCTACAGTTGTTTTTATTTTTCAGTGTGATACCTTTCCCAAAAAAACTCATTCTTTGTAGCAACTTTCCAAGTCTGGCCCTAGTTTTAAACATGAGTTACATTTCAAATGTTGGAACAGAGCCCCTTCTGCCATTTGCAAGTGGAAATATTTTCTCTCTCCACCTTTAAAAGCCCTGAGGGATTGTTGTACATGTGTGCATATGTAATCTAAAATGTAGTTGCCTTTCAATTTGCTTTTCAGGGAGTATTATTAATGGCCCATTTTAGCATGAGTCATATTAGTGAGAAATGGGCAAATATTAATGAGTCCTATTAACAAGGATGGGTTATCTGAGTCTCGCTCTGCAGCAGTTCTGCAAGTGTGGAGATTTTTCAGCCTTCAGATTTTGAAGATGAAAAAGAACATTAGAGAGAACATGGACATTTCAGTACTGGCTCAATGGCCCCTGAATTCTATACCTCTGTGGAAGATGGGGCTGTATTCCAGCCCTTTTGAATGAAAGGCTGTATGCATTATGGTTCAAAATCTTTGTAATAAGATACCACTTTATTTTAAAGCATATTGCAAAAATGACCCCAATTCCAAGAACATAAAATAATGGAAACTCTTAGTTACATTGAAATGTAATTCTGAGGAGTAGTAAGGCCTTGCCTTACTACACTTCCAAGCTCCTCCGTTTGTTAGGAAGGGAACTTCTACACCATTGCTGTTCACCTGGGCGTGTAGCGGGGCAGTCAGAAGATCATGTGATCTTGGCCCAGAAAGTCACAATGGGAGCAGCGATTGTAGAAATAAACAAATCAATAGAATGGATTTCATTATAGTTCATCATTTTGCCAAATCCATATTATCAGGGAACATGGCAATACATATTTTCAAAAATAATCAGTTTTGAAAGAGTCATTCAAATGTTCATTCAATAAATATTTCTTAGGCATGGCTTAAGGTGCTGAGGACACTGAGATGATGAGACATAGTCCAACGGGTAACACATGGTCTAGGAGAAATATTAAGTATAGAAAGTCATGCTACACTAGAGTAAGTCCCTGGTGCTGTGAGAACCAAGGTTCACTCTCAAGTTTGGAGACAAAGGGTCAGACTTTCTGGACCAGGAGACACATGCAAATGGATCTATAAATGCCTAGAGTTTGAGAAGTTTATTAGGTATATATTCCATTAAAATAATTGGCTCCTTATCAGTAATTTTAAAAGTCAAGGAAAAAAATTTATGAAGTTATTAGAAATATTTGTAACTTTATGACCACAAATAATTTTAACTTATCTAACTGCCTAAGACAAGTCTGATTACATGAAGCTAATGAATAATGCACAAAAAGTAGAATGGAGAAATGCCACAGTAAATGCAGGAGAAATGCACTATACCAAGGTGGGGAACTATAATGATACAGTTATAGAAGATATTACTGTAAAGAAAAAAAAAAAGGACTTCCACATTCTTTTTTGAAAAGAATGTGAAGAGGAAGGAATAGGGGAGCAGAGAGTAGAGAAGAAGACCAAGAAGCTGGGTAAATTCCTGAGGGTCATAAAGCAAATGCAGCTGTGACTCTGGGCTCACTGTCATTGGGGGGTCCCTTACAGAACCTCCCCAAAAAAGCAACATGCCTCATCAAGTCATGACTCCACCACTAGACCCTGAAGGTGGGACCATTCCATCCCATCATGAACCAGACATAGCCCTTTTATATCTGGAAGGCTCCCTAACAGGATGCTTCAGCTTTCATGAGTTCTGCATCCGAGGTTGGTGTATCGTAGGGAAAAAGCAGACGTGCCCTTACTGCAAAGAGAAGGTTGATTTGAAGAGGATGATCAGTAATCCATATCCTTTAAAACAAAAAGGTGATAAGACATTATCTTGAATGTTTCTGGGGATATATTCTTTGATCAAAACTTTCAGTATTTTTGTATAGTTCCAGCAGAAAACTTTGTTTTCCCTAACCACCTATTTCAAAATGACGTATGGTCTCTTTTCTCCTCTGTGCCTATATTACTGTTCTGGTTAGAAAGTTAAATGCCAGAAAACATTCCACTCTTTGTGTTCTGTATTTCTCACATTAAGGGCTGTAGTGGAAATGTGATGAGTCATTGCAAAAAAACAGGTACAATACATGAAAGAATAATCAAGATGGATGGATGCATGGATGGATGAATAAATGGGTGAATTGGATGGGTGGATGGATAGGTGCATATACAGAAAAATTGGAATTGGAATTTTAAAAGCCCAAATATGAACTAGAGTACAGAAAACTATTTTTAAGATATGTTAAGGTATGCCAAATTTTATTATTCCCAGAAATGAGTAGGTCTTTTGCCCTCTGGATTTTGGCTTTTTAAAATCCATGCCATGCATCATCTCTTCTTAGGCCAAACCCTAGTGATAATAATATTGAGAATAAATAAATACCTACAGAGTTGGTCAGCTTCTGGCAGCAACTGAGATTTTTATAGACATCAGAGATGAGCAGCAGATAAACTCAAGCTTCATTAAGGTCACAGGAAAGTAATGGCCCCCATCCAGAGCTAACTAGAAAGACTTAGTCCTCAACCTCACTGTCCCAAGACCATAGTATATCTCTTTCAGGAAGTGGGTGAGAATGGGATGAAAACATATCCTCCCTTAAACAGAGGAGCCCTGACAGGTTGGCATCAATCTACCAAGTACTATCTCTTCTCTAAGAGACAGCCTTTCTGTACTTTCTAATAGTCACCTAAATTTTACAATGCTAAAGGAATCACGTTCTCTGCTCTCTGCTCCCCTATTCCTCACCAACCCTAAACCTATGATTTAACAGTGGCTACTGGCAGCAATGCCCTCATCTCTGAGCACTGCAGATCAGGGAGGGATTTAAGGAGGGCATCAGAGAAGGAGGCAGCATCCGCTGACTTTTGGATCTCAAGGCCCATACCATTGCAAGAGACCACCCTCTGCAGTACCTGCCCCATCCACTGGACTTTCTCAATGAGTCAGTGCCACTCAAGCATAACTAAAGGCTAAAGGTGTGCGATGCTCTTTCTGCCCTCCTGTTCATCCACTGTCCCGGAATTCCTCTTCTAAAATGAGAAGACCAAGTCCAGAAAAGTTTTTGGTTAATAACCTGTAAAACCTCAGTACATAAATCTTTGTTATAAAATTGGTGATGATATGATCATAAAAGTCACCTAAAATGATACTTTAAATAACAAAGGGCAATTCATTTCTTTATGTAGTCTTGAGAGAATAAACTTTTGAATAAAACAGGTACTACTCTTTTGTTGAGACTCAATATAAGAAAAAAACTAGATGTGAAAAAGCTGCCATTTTGTTTGTAAAATTGTTATCATAGAAACTATGCATTCATTAAGCACCCTAGCACAGTTTATCAAAAATAGCAGAAAAAGGTCTTATCTGATGAACCAGTGTTATTCTTGTTAATATACAATGAGTTTGCTCTGATGTATGACTACAGGAAAGCCCTGAGCTGTTTTTGCTCATTCAGAGCAGCTTCCACCATCCTTGGCTTTCTAACATTGTCGTTCCCCTCTTCTTCCTTCTTTTGGCATATACCCTTGCCTGTGATTCTCGTTTTCTAGTTTTGGATTTTATTGTAAAGAATTTCAGTTTATTTTCAGAAATTGGGTGTGGTGTAAGTAACAATGAAACCATAATGTAATAAAACTCATGTAAGGGGCTTTTAATTGAGCACATAGAATTAACAAGAAAGGAAATACCCCTTCATTATATTGCTCATTATATTTGCAAATGACATTTATGAATATTTCTGCTACTTGGCTGTATATCGAACAATCTCCTTAACTGAGATTTAGCTGGGAGCGCACACATTTTCTGTATGGACAAATCCTGGATTGGCTTCGTTACTTGGTAGCCTGGCAACCTGTGGTGATAGGAATAGTTCAAGGCGTTAACTATTCACTAGGGCTGGAATAGTAAAGCAGACTTATCCCAGAGGCAATCATGGTTGAAATCCCTGGTCCTACATTTAATACAATTTTTTTTTTATTTTAGAGATGATCCCAAGTGTTTAGAAAACTAAGTAAGTTTTGTTGTCATACTTAAAGCAATTTGCCTATGTGGAAAGAATTTAAAGAGAAACTGAACCATGGAATAAACAAATAAAGCATATTTTTTCATCTTTCCTATTTTAGTCATTTTTTAAACTCATGCATATGACACATTTGTTACACCCCACTATGGACATTCTACTTCCAGTTTGACTGATAACGGTATCTGTAAAGTGTTTCAGAGGTTTGCAAAGTACTTCTCACATAGAACATTTAGCCGTAACTAACACTTTTTCATCAGTTCAACATCTTCAAAGTAGGTGGAGTTGTTAAGTAATCTATGATTGGGGACATTATGCTTGTCTTCCGCTCCATGTACTTGTTACCCTGTGACAGCTACTGCACTACTGAGCTCTTCCATAGATCGTTGGTTACTCCCAAAGCCTCTGACAACAGGTTCCACACCTTCTTAATGGGCCACAGGTACTTTGGGTTTCCTGGAGCTGCCAAAGGTGCTCAACCCATGCAACAGCTGCACTAAAGCAAGAAGAATCACTTTTCTTTTGTTCCACTCTACGCCCACATGTACACACACGTGCACAGTCATTCCATTGTGGCACTCTGTTTTTATTTTCTTCATAGCACTTATTGATACTGAAATCCTCGCACAAATTTCTTGTCTTCTCCTCCATGAAGACAAAGAATTTTTTTTTTTTTAAAGATGGGGTTTCACCATGATGGCCAGGCTGGTCTTGAACTCCTGACCTCAGGTGATCCACCCACCTCGGCCTCCCAAAGTGCTAGGATTACAGGTGTGAGCCACCACGCCCGGCCAAAGACACAGAATTTTATCCGTATTGTTCCCTGCCATATCCCCAGCACTTTGAGCACTGCCTAGCACATAATCGGCAGTCAGAAAATATTTGTGGAAACAGTGAATTAATCTGGCAAAAGGGAACAAAATTAACTAAATGGAGAAGACCATTCAGAAAGAACTAATACATAAATGATGATTAGACTCTCAAAATTAATTTGTTTTAAATTACTGGTCATTTGATAAACAGCCAACGCTGTTGAGAATTTTTCTCTTTCAGACTGTCCAATTCTTCAGTATTATTCAGTCAGGTCAGGGTCCATGGGCTAGTTGTCTAAGGTGTTATCTGAGCTCATTGCCTCATGACTGAGAATATTAAGGGGCATGGATGCAAAGGGTGAGATTGGAGCAAAAGTTTAATAAGTGAAAGAAGAAAGCTCTCCACAGTGGAGAGGGGAGCCCAAGTGCAGTGCCATTTTACACTTGAATGTAAAAGCTTTTATAAGAAACTCCTCTCATCTCTGTAGCTGTTTGAGTAACTTCTCTTATCTGAAAAGCTGTCTGCACAACTCCCCCTATCTATCCAGCTGTGAGATGTTCTCTAGGTAAGCACAAAGCATAGCTTTTTTCTTGTTTGTATAATTGTGAGTTTGTCTTAGGCAAGCCCCCCTCTGTTTCCAGTGCAATCTCCCATGGAGCCCCCCATGTTCATGTCTGAAAAGGGGAGGAAACATTTTCCTGGGAACCTGCTACACACAAATAACAAAAGGCTTCTATGCTGGACCTTGTCTGCCTTTCTTGCTTATATGTGCAGGTTGAGTGTTCCCCAGGCTGCTCTATTTTTGCCTGTAGCTGTGATTTTTCAGGCAGGCTGCTTCTCCGAAGACTAGCCTTAGCTGTCTACCCAAATGATTTTTCATTTTCTCCTCTCTCATTATGATTGATCCACCATCCAGATTATAGAATTTTTAATTGTTTATTTCTGGACTCCAAAAACATTCCAGTAGTTCAATACTTACTACATAGTAGGCATATTCAAGGGGTAGGGAGATAAAACAAGATTCCTGAGTTATAGTCTATTGACAAATAAAAGACTTCACATTTGGATAAAGCACTAACAAAAAATTAGTTTTTCTTCTGTTAAACAAAAAAGGAAACTTTACATTGATCTCTAATTTAGTTTCCACTTACCTTTTATGTATAGCCACAATGGTAGCTTTTAGAACCACTTAGAACTCTGGGCAAATAAGCCAGTGTTTATCTGCATGGGATTCACAATGACCCTCAGAGTTCAGGAATGTCAGGTAATCACTAAATGCCTCAGAAAAAAAAAATGAAGATGCCATTTTCTTTATACAGTTTAAGAATTTACAATCTAATCCCAATTTTGTAAAGTAGTGTGGAAATATACACTGAAAAAAGATTGGAGAGTGTTATGGCTAATACTAGGTGTCAACTCAATTGGATCGAAGGACGCTTGGATAGCTGGTATTGTTTCTGGTGTGTCTGTGAGGGTGTTGCCAGAGGAGGTTAACATTTGAGTCAGTGGACTGGATGAGGAAGACCCGTCCTTAATGTGAATAGGCACCACATCAGCTCAGGTGATCTGCCCACTTTGGCCTACCAAAGTGCTGGGATTCCATGAGCCACCAGGCCCAGCTTAAAGATTACTTTTTAGAGATTATTTTAAATCTATCAATTAACTATGAAGCTATTTCAGTTGCTATTTTAAGTTCTTGAAATTAAACACAGATCAAGTGAATGTTAAATCTACCTTGTTCTCATAATTAACATGGTGCTTAATGTAGGAAACAGAAGTAAAGCAGAAAGTCCGTTATTGTGTTTGGCATCTGTGGAATCTCAAGTTTGCTTCTTCTAAACATGTTCATTTTTTTTCCTTTTTCGTTTTGTTTTGTTTTGAGACTGTGTTGCTTTGTTACCCAGGCTGGGGTGCAGTGGTGCAATCACAGCTCACTGCAGCCTGGACCTCCTGGGTTCGGATGATCCTCCCACCTCAGCCTCCCAAGTAGCTAGGACCACAGGCACACACCACCATGCCCAGCTAATAGTTTGTATTTTTTGGTAGAGACAGGGTTTTGCCATGTTGCCCAGGCTGTTCTCCAACTCCTGGGCTCAGGCAGTCCTCCTGCCTCAGCCTCCCAAAGTGCTGGGATTATGCTGGGCCTGATTCTTTTTTAGACTGGCTACTCTCCTCCATAACACTCTCCTGGGAGTTCGTGTGAAACAGAAGCGGCCCTATGTGAGTTCCCAAAGGATTGAAGCTTGTTCTGCACTTATTGAGCATATTTCTTTGGGGTATTTTTCTGCAAAGAGCAAGGTCCCTTATATCCCTGCTAGTATCCATAACAGAAAAATACCCATTTACAAGCCATAATATGTAAGGGAATGAAATCTCTTCTTGGAAAATAATAGCAGCTAACATCTGCTACAGACATCCCCCTCATCCCACATATGAAACCATGGTGCCCATTCTCTTGGGCATGGTACTCTTGCCCTCCTCACCCCTCCAGAGAGAATGGGAACCAAGGAGCTTAGGCTTATGGTTTACTTACATTCCTACCTTTCATACTCTCAGTACCTTAGGATATAGAGATCTTCATCCCTATTTTAAAGACAGAAATACTTTTTGGGTCATGTCAAGTGACTTGCCAAAGATTACATATCTACTAACCCAGGTCTTTCTGACTCCAGTGCCCAATTAACCACATAAACCCAGTTCTCGTTGAGAATTGAGCAGGGGTAAAAGGAGGCTCACTCCCTTTCACATGATTCCCAGCTTAAGAAGAAAGTCACACAGAATCAGCAAATAGCTCTTAGCAAAGTATGGTGCATCAAAATTTAATGGGTGCTATTATTATACCTAGACTGCAAAATTAACATATGGTAGTAGTAGCTATCTTTAAATTATTGTGTATTAAACTATTTTTGAGTCATTATGAGGAACCTCTAGGTATATATTTGCTTAAAAAATCTATTTAGCTCACGTGTACTTTTTAAAGTGGGAAATGGAGGAAAGGGCGGGCCTTTTTAGAATTAAAAACAAGACTTTTCAAAGAAGGAAAAAGCAACAATATACAGGGGAAACAGACTAGAAAACAGGAACTGAGAGTCCAAGTGACTGGACAATAACTAGAACTCAAAAGGTAGTTAGAGGCTGAGGAAGACCAGAGTTCAGATGTGGGAGGTGTCTTTCAAATTCTCCTAAACTGAATATTTATTTACATTAATAGTTTTGTTAAATTACAGGAATACATAATTTACCGTATCTTGTGCCATAGACTCACTCCCTCAAGTAGCTATGGCTGGAGAAACTATCAAGTAACCAGAAAGACAGATCCAGATCACATGAAAATACGCCCTCTAGGTATCTCTCATCCTGTAAAGTTTAATAGGAAACACACAGCACTTTTTTCTAGTAATAGCAACAAGTCTGGGGGAGTGCCCCAAATACTTTGCCTTGTTGCTTTTGACAACAGTTGCACGGAGAAGTGACAGCTGGGTGGAACAGAGAATGCCCTTTGTGGCCACAGAGGAGTCTCTTAGCAGAAAGAATAACACAGTCATTGAGAATCTTAAACTCATCTGTGCTATTTCCTAATGAACTAAGCCAATTGCTACAGTTACAGTTGGCCCTCTATGTCTGTGGGTTCCACATCCACGAAGTCAACCAACTACGGATCAAAAGTATATTTTAAAATTCTTTTAAATAAAAAATAACAACACATCAAAATAACACAAATAAAAAGACAGTACAACAACTATTTACATAGTATTTACATTGTATTAGATATCACAAGTAATCTAGAGATGATTTAAAGTATACAGGAGGATGTACATAGGTTATATGCAAATATTATGCCACTCTTGAGGGACCTGAGCATCTATGAATTTTGATATCCATGAGGATCCTGCAACCAACTCCCCTGGATACCAAGGGAGGACTATATTCAGATGTCAATAATAGACTTATGATCATGGTTATCCATAGAAGAAAACCCAAAAACCAACTTTTAAGTCTGGCATGTTTTTATAAAACAGCACTCTAGACAAAATTTGAAGTTTTGTAGTTTTAGTAAGCAAGTCCTCAAATGACAGTACATCCATGCAGTTATTATTATTATACTTTAAGTTCTGGGGTACATGTGCAGAACGTGCAGGTTACATATGCATGTGCCATGGTGGTTTGCTGCATCCATCACCCCGTTAACTACATTAGGTATCTCTCCTAATGCTATCCCTCCCCTAGCCTCCCACCCCCTGACAGGCCCCTGTGTATGTGATGTTCCCCTCCCTGTGTCT